TCTGCAAAGGTACATAAGATAGCATTGTTATATTATAAACAGAAATAATTTTAGAAAATATGATTAAAATGATGGATAAAATATTTACTGTAATGTAGTTGAATGTTTGGTAATAAATAAATGAATTAAAATGATTGAGAGAATTAAATGGGAACATTTTTAATTATTAGTAATGATTTATAAAAATATAAGTGAGAAATATGGAAAAAAAAGAATTAACTATGGAAAGTTTATAAGTGTTCCCAAGGAAGTATGATATTTAACTGAAAACAAATGTTAAAGATGTTAAGATTTTAATGAATATTAATGATAGAATTGAATTGGAATGGAATGTGTGCTTTATTTACATATATATATATATATAATTTTTTCTTATTAAGAATATAGTGTGTATTTTAAGAATGTACCAAGAAGAATTCGATTGGAAGCTATGTATTATATTGATTGCTATAATCTTAAAGGTATACATTGAAGCTTAAATAAGAGTTTGAATGGATAAAATTAAAAGATATAAAGGTGTCATACTCCAATTGGTAACTACAGGGAAAAAATTGTTTAATAAGAAAAGATAATATGAAATTGAAACAGGACAGACAAAAGTATAAATATAATGATTTGATTGAGATGAGATAATTACAATAAAGTTGAGAAAATTAAAAGAGGGGAAAATTATGTAGAAAATATAAAATGGTAATAAGATATGGAATAGAATATAAAAATGAGCATGAAATTGAGTTTGGTGTCTGTATGAAGAACTGATAGCCTGGGACCATGCTATTTTTTAAAAAAAGATGTTTTACTTGTATTTTGTTTTTGTGAAAACTCAAATAAAGCTTTCAAAAAAAAGAGGGGTTTGAGAACTACTACCGCACATTTATTCCCCGCTTTGCTGCCTTGACTATTCCCCTTTCTAATCTGCTCAAGAAGGGGGAGAAGTTCCATTGGGGTGATGAGGAGCAGGCAGATTTTGAGGTGTTAAAAGTCGCCTTTTCTTCTGAGCGTATCCTCAAACACCCCGATCCAAGCCAGCCATTTGTGGTGGAAACAGATGCTTCCGATGTGGCTGTTGGTGCAGTGCTCCTCCAGGCCTATGCTCCCGCAGGCACCTTGTTCCCATGCGCTTATTATTCCTGGAAGTTGTCAGCTCCAGAGCACACCTATATGATTTGGGACAAGCAGCTATGGGCAGTTAAGGTCACTTTTGAGACATGGCGGCACCACATGGAGGGGGTTTGTCACCAAATCGAGGTTTGGACAGATCATCGCAATTTGGAACACCTACGTACAGCTCGGACATTGAACCAGCGTCAAGTGAGATGGTCCTTATTCTTTGCTCGATTTGATTTCCAAATGACCTATATTCTGAGTGGAGGGAATCAACGTGCCGATGCCCTATCTTGGAAGCCCGAGTATACCTGAAGGGAGGAAAAAATCTTGCCCTGGATGGTGATTCCATTGGAGCAGTTAGTGGCCACTGAGAAACCTGTGGACCTCCAAATGAGGATTCAGGAGGTGCAGCAGCAGGACCCATTTGTGGCAGCTCAACATCGAGAATTGGATGAGAATGGGAGACAAGAGACTCCTTGGGTGTATATTGGGGACCTCCCGTGATCACATTTACAAGCCCGGAGGTCCTCTTTGTGGCCTTATGCTATGTCAATGTCATGATAGTCTGGCAACGGGACATTTTGGGGTGTTCAAAACATTGCACTTCATCTCTAGGATATTTTGTTGGCCGAGACTTAAACATGATGTGTCTGGATATGTGGCGTCCTGTGGGATCTGTTGCCAAGCCATGAATGTGCCCCTTGGTCTCTTGCAGCCCTTGTCCACACCAGAATGACTATGAGGGGAAGTTTCATCGGATTTCATCATTGAGTTACCACCATCAAATGGTGCCACAACCATTTGGGTGGTGGTGGATATGTTGACTAAAATGGGCCACTTTATTCCATGTGTGGGTCTTTCATCGGCCAAGATGACGGCTCAATTGTTTATCTCCCATGTTTTCTGGTTGCATGGGTTACCAGACCACATGGTATCAGATCAGGGAATACAATTTCTGGCATGCTTCTGGCAGAACCTACTCACGAAACTGCAGGTTCAGGCGTGTCTGTCATCTGCTCATCACCCCAAAACTGATGGGGGGACAGAGAGAGTAAATGCTATTTTGGAGCTGTAACTCCGCTGTTTCAGCAATATTCAACAAGACAATTGGGTAGAAGTGCTGCTGGTGGCAGAATTTGCTTATAACAATGACCAACATGCATCCACCCATGTGTCCCCTTTCTTTGCTTACTATGGGTTTCATCCACAACTTTTCCCTTTAGCCTCGTCTGATTCCCCAGTTCCGGCAGTGGATACATTCTTGCAGGAGTTAAAAGCTGTGCACCACATGGTCCGCATTCAACTAGAGAGAGCCAAGGAGGACTATAAATAGTTTGCAGAACAACATTGTCGTGATGTTCCATCTTTAGTGGTAGGCGATTGGGTTTGGCTCTCTACTTGATACTTACCAACAATGCAACCATCAAAAAAGCTCAATCACCGTTACTTTGAGGCGGTGATCAATCCTGTGGCTTATCATCTCTCCCTGCCAGAGACCATCCTTATCCATCCTGTTTTTCATTGTTCCCTGTTAGTCCCTGCCTTGGCCGACAGTCTGCATAGATCAGCTCTATCACAGCTGGTCCCAGTAGCCCCTCTGCGAGAGGAAGAGTACGAAGTGCATAGCATCTGTGATTCATGCCAGTTGTGAGGCCGATTTCAATATTTGGTGGCATGGAAAGGTTATGGACCAGAAGACTTCATCTGTGTTGATGCCACTGATGTTCATGCTCCTCCTATCAAAAGTCACCTGCTCTTCCACCACACAAATGTCACACCAACCAAATGACTCTAGGAAGCTACCAAACATCATTAAAGGTACCTATTTTCATTTTTGTGTAGAAGGTATAGGTCTTTGGATGGAGACTGCCTCTTGTTATAGAAGCTCCACTAAGTGCTTCAGCACTGCAGAGCAGCTTAATAGTCTGCTGTTTGTTTTCTAAAGTCAGGGATTGAAGCAGAATTGACTGTGTTTAGGTAGACCTTAAAAGAGATTTGTCAACTGAAATCAACAGGACTGAATTTAACAGATCTCACTGATATTAGTGGCATAACAATTTCATGACCCGGCCTACCATCTAGAAAGACAAATAGATTTAAAACAAATCTATTGGGATCAATCTGCATATATGCATCAATAACAAGAGGGTCTCCTGCTAGATCAGTGTGTTGGACTAGAAGACCTCCAAGGTCCCTTAAAACTCTGTTATTCTGTTATTCTGACAATGAATGATGTCCTTCATCCATGCAGCAATATTGGTAGACTTTACTTACTTAGGAAAATAGGTGGCCATGGAATGTTGCAAGTACACTAGTCAGTTGAAGAAGAATAAAGGACATTGGAAGAATATTGGAATTGCAGTGAATAAGATGCACTGTAGCTAGTATACCATGAAGTACTGGGTATTGGAAAGACTTAACTGATGTACAAGTAAGACCAAATGAAGAATATAAAAGTTTAGTTTCTTCTCCACTTCTATCTTTTATTTTGGGGAATTAAGGGACTTCTGGTTGTACTTCTAGTGGCATCGGAAGTGAGGACCATGAGCTCCATCGGAGTGAGGACCATGAGTCCCTGTCAGAGGGCTCCAAAAGGAGCCATAGACACCCTGTAAAGGTGCTGAAGAAAAGTGGGGTACCTTGCAGGTTAGGGAGACTTGGAAAATCCCCCTCATCTGAAGATGAGGAACAGCAGCAGTCAACACAGCTGCCATGAACCTGGGGATAACCAAAACACCTAAGAAAGTGCAGGTGTGAAGAGAATAGTGAACAGAGATAGTTGCTGTGTGAGATGATTCTTCATTTCTTTAAAAACTACGCCAAGGTAAACAAACTGCCCATGAACTGGTGGAAGCAATAGGAAAATTAGATGAAATGGACTACTTAACCCAGCAAATTAAATATGAACAGGGAAAATATGGATCAGAAAAATTAGCAAATGAAGCAAAAGCTTGATGAAGAGGAAGACCAGATAAATGGCAAGCAAAAGGAGCAGAAAGAACAGATGAATTGGCCACATCAACAAATAAATTGGAGCAAAATAGAATGGAACAAAAAATAGGACTGAAACACCAGCTGATAATGAAGAAATATCAGAGAAAATAAAACAGACAAATTGACAATTGGAGAGACAGGAAGCTACCTTTGATAAGGAGATTGGCACATGGGCAGACATCTGGGAGAATTGGCAGTATGAGATTGTACTGGGAGTAATGTTTAGAGGTATATGTTTTAGCATTGATAAATACTTAGTCAAGAAAAGTGAATCTTCATTCTATTTTATGCTAATTCGATCTATTTTTTCTAAAACCTTAGCACACTGAACAATCAAAAGATCAAGAACATAAATATTTTAAACACAGAAATAGCATTATTCATTCCTAAAATATGTGGTTAATAGGCAAAAACTATAAATATTAATTTGAAGCATTTTTTTCTTACATCTTTACTTTTCAACTTGCTTACTCACAAAATTTGACAAAGTTCAAGAATGTCAGTGTTTTGATCAAATTTTGGAGAAATTCCAAGCACATTGTTTGGCTTCCTTTTAAAACAATTTTTAGATTTCTTAACATTACATAAAAAATAAAGAATACACTTTTCAGTGACATCTAAAGAGAAATGTTGCTTTCACTCATGTTTTATTATTGAAATATGTTGAACAGGTAGAATTTGCCATAGTGATGCTGTTTAAATAAACAAATAAATAATCGATAGACATTTCAACAGAAGACAAAAGCTATATTAATTTCTTATAGATATTTGAATTTAGGTCAGCAGATATTATAAGAACTGAATAAAAATACACCAGGCACTTATTTTCTTTTAATTAAGAAATTATATTCCATTTCCTTTATAGAGGAGATAAATTATTCTTATGGCAAATTGTTTAGTTATTTCCCCCTTTTTAGCTGTTCCTTGTTATTTAAATCAGGCCTCATCAGAATAATGTAACATTTTGGAAAGAAGATGAAAGACAGTAACCCTCCACTGGAGCACAAAATGGAGAAGATCTCTACAGCCACCATATATTTCCCCTTTGTGCTCAAGTATGTTGGAACAAAGGACAGCCAGACACTGCAAAACACCAACATGCTGAAGGTGATAAATTTGGCTTCATTAAATGTGTCCGGTAACTTCCTGACCAGGAAAGCCACAATGAAGCTGATAATTGCCAAGAGACCCATAAAACCAAGGACAAAATAGAACATGACAGTTGACCCTTCGTTACATATCAATACAATTTCCTTTGGCAGGGAATACACGTCAACATCTAGGAATGGGGGAGAGATTGATAGCCATACAGTAGAAATAATGGTTTGAATAAAAGAGCAAGAAAGAACAATTGAAAGACCCAGTCTCTTCCCCATCCATTTTCTAATTCTGGACCCTGGCTTGGTAGCCATGAAAGCAAGAATTACGATGATAGTCTTTGCCAAAATGCTAGAAACTGCCACAGAAAAGATGATGCCAAAGGTAGCTTGCCGAAGAAAACACGTCCATTGACGAGGCTGACCAATAAATAGGAAAGCACAGAGAAATGAGAGCAGGAGGGAGATGAGAAGAATGTAGGTCAGGGTCTCATTGTTGGCCTTCACAATTGGTGTGTCATTGTTTTTAATGAAGAGCCAGAGCATCAAAATAGTAAGAATAGAAAAAGTAAGAATAAAACTGGTAAAAATATTCCCCAGCATTTCTTCATAGGATAAAAATGTTACATATTTGGGAAGGCAGATATTTTGCTTCTCATTTGGATAATGATCTAGTGGACACTGAAAGCAGTTGTCCATATCTGTGGGAAAAGTGAAACAGGCTTTTATTCTATATAAAGTTTTCTTGAAAATGATACTGGAATAATCAGATCTGTTTTAACTGTTCATCCATATAGACAACTGCATGATTTACAAACTGGGTAAACCTCAGCAGATCATCAATCATGATCCCTGACCATAATTGGGCAACCACTCCTCCATGTACTATCACTTACCCTTCTGATTAGAAATCTTCCCTCCTGGACAAGGAAGGCAATCATAGCAGCAAAATGGTTTCCCTTCCTTTTTGGCCTTTCTGTAACCTGGATGACAATTGTCATTGCAAACAGAAAGAGGTTTTGTCTACAGATAAAAGAAAGAGAAGAAAGTTTTCCATCTAGCAAATATGCATATCTACAAATAACCATAGTGACTTGTGTTTTCATAGGTGAAAATGTCAGGAAAAAAATATATATTCATATATGACGACTTATAAAGAAAAATCTTTTAAGGGAAAATTGTTTTTCAATTTTGTTTATATGCATCCAGAAATTCACATAGAGAGTGATAGCAAGGCAGTGAGTTAGATTAAAAGTGACTTGATGTACATCTGCACCAATCAAATGCCATTTAAATATCATATTTTGAATTTATTAGTATTTATGTGATATTTTCTTATTGATTAGAAATTTATCAATTGGAGCTAATAATTCAAATGAATGAATATAACTCCCAAATATATTTAAGTTATGATTTTGGATAGAAACTATGGTATAAATGAATGCAATTGAATAAATATAACATTTACACACTGGCATATTAAGTAAGAAGAGATGACATGCTTGTCCTGAAATATATGATTACTGCATATTGATACGCTATGTAAAAGGCAATATTTGAACTTGTCATGTTTTGTTGGATTTTTTCTCCTATGTCTCATGATTTGACATTGGGTTCTTTTTTCATTTTCTTTGTATTTTCAGACAGCTTTCTGAGTTAGTTGAAGAATAGTTACTCTAACAAATTATTATCTTACAGCTATATAAGTCTTGAATAGTACTCAGAGAGTTACAGGACTTACCTGATTAAACCACTTTGGCCAGTTTATGGATTCCTTGGAAATAATAAATGCTTTTTCTGCAAGAGACAAGGGTTGTATGTCTCCAACTTTGATTCTAAGGAAGGAAAGGTTTGGGAATGTTACCCAGTTGATAATATCAAATCCAGTTTCCAGTTCTCCATTTTGATTGAAGAAAATTCTTTCTCCAACATTGTTGTTAAATGAGTTTATTCTCACAAAATGGTTGAGCTGAAAAGAGGAGAGGAGATTGCAATTCATCAGGATATATTTAAAAATATTGCTGTTCTACATTTAAGGCTTTTTCTTATGTAACAAATAGACATAGACAGAAAACAGGAATTAGAATGGTGTTCTAGAAAAAAAAAGAGTTTGCATCGTATATTTTTTCTTTGCCCCTAGGAGACCATCATTTGTTTTTTCTAGGATTGAACTCTTGACTTTCTGAATGGGAGGTGAGCATCTTCATCATTAGGCCACCACACCACTCACTGTCTTTCTACAGCTGATTGAAACATATTTCTAAATGTAAAACTAAAGTTCTTTGGAATCTACAAAAATCACTAGTACACTCTCCGCAGAACAACTATGGAAGAGTTAAATATAAAAGCACCCTTTTTAAGAAGATACATTTTATCATTGTGAAAAGAAGAGTTTACCTGACAGTTTGAGAACCAATACTAGCTTTCATGGCTGGTATTTATTTAATAATATTGGGTTTCAGCAATTAGTTGCATGTGTAAACCAGGTCTCTGCAACCTTAAACACTCCAAGAGTCATTTGGACCCATTTCCCACAGAAAAAAACACACCGGGAGCCACAAAACCTCACTCCCCCCCAGTCACATGACACCCCCCCAGTCACGCCTACACAGGTTTGTGGCTCCCGGTGTTTTCTATGGGAAATCTCTCTCTCTCTCTCTCTCTCTCTCACACACACACACACAAACACTCTCTCTTCTCTGCCTCATTCTCTCTCTCTCTTTCTCTTTTTCTTTCTTTCTCTCTCTCTGTCCTTCTCTTCTCTCTCTCTCTTTCTGTTTCTCCATCTTTTTCTGTCTTTCTCTCTTCTCTCATTCTCTCTCTTTCTGCCCTTCTCTCTTCTCTTTCTCTGTCCTTTCTCTCCTCTGTCTCATTCTCTCTCTGTGCGTGTACTTCTCTCTTCTCTCTCTCATTCTCTCTTTCTATATGTGTACTTCTCTCTTCTCTCTCCCTCCCTCCCTCTGATTCTGATTATCTGGCACCTCTTCTCTTGCTGGGTCTCACCCTTGTTGGTGCTGCAACAAGAGCAAGAGATGAGGCAAGCAAGTATGCTTTACTCTCACTCTGGAATATGGAGCAAGTCTCCATCCCTTGCTATTGCCCTTACCTTCTTAGGCCAGGCAAGGAGTGACTGGGAGGGGAAGGTGAGGGGTTTAGGCCAGCCAGTGGGGGAATCACCTGACACAGAGCTGCAGGAGAGGGATGAAAGAGCTGCATTCAGCTCTAGAATTGCGGGTTACCAACAACCAATCTAGATAACAGATTGGGTTTCAGCAATTACTGACGTGATCTAGACAACAAAATTCCTGATATTTCACCAACAACTGCTGTGAAATAGACCAGTTTGTCTCTGAAGATATGGCCATATTTGTTAAACAGCTTTCAGTTCCTACTTAACCCATATATAATTTTGAAATTTTACACCATTTGTTACTTAAAAAAATGGCCCTTGTCAGAAAGGAAATATAACACAAAACAATATTTCCATGTTTAGTAGAGAATGAGGCACATTGATCTAATTGAAATCAGTTTGTCCTAGACATTACCTGCCATAGGTGTTGAGCCAGCAAGCTATGGATTGGTTCACTGACACTCTCTGTCTTTTTCAATTGAAATGAAAGCATGTTATGTAAAGCATATGCCATGGCATAGACTGCATTGTAGATGCTGTAGCTATGGGAAGTCATGCTCATTTCAAAAATAGATGCTGGGAGATTCTCCAGTTTCTCCTTACCAGTGCAGGGGACCCTTTCTTGTCTGTCTATTGTAGACTCTGGAAAGAAACATCCAAAGGCCTCTTCCCAAAAGCCCTGAATGAAGCCATCTTCTACTTCAGAGCCAGCATTTATCAGCTGAAGAAAGTCAGTGAATCTCAGGACCTCCTTTGAATGAACTGCTAGGGACAGGGCACCATGAAGCAAGTCTATGCCTTCTTTCTTTTGAAAGGGGAATGATGTGAATTCCATCTGAGCCGTCATAATGTAAACCCTTCCTTTTGCCATTATTGATATAGCCTCATATTTTGACAATGTGGAACACATTCTGACAAATATCATAGTCTCAATTTCACCATAAATAATGGATACATTAGTAATACTTTCTGTTATGACTTCATACAAGTGTAACCCCTCCGTCACCATCTTATCAATGTCAGTAACTGATGTAATTACTGGGAATCTTTCAATATAATCAAAACAGATTCCTCTCTCAGAAAACGCAGGGAGTGCATCCTGGACAAATCTCTCTCCATTGTTATCATTGTCATATAATACCCCAATCCATGTCCATTGGAAATGCAACAGTAACTGGAGAATCCCTTTATATTGTCTGTGTACATCTGGAAACATCTGGTGATAGAAAATAGCTTGAGTTTTTCTATTCATCTCAGAAGCAGAGCCATAAGTGAACTATAGCATATAAACAAAAACTGTTAGAGAATTAATAGCTAGGAAATCTATTTTATATATTTACCATTTCTTTCTTATATGAAGATCATGAAATCAAGTTTCTGTAAACTGATTGTGCTGTGAAGCAGATGCCTTGCTATGTAAAAAGAGAACATACAACAGATATTTAAAAAAATATTTGGAAAAAATAAAGATTTACTGATGTTTTGTTCTGTGAACATACTGGTATATATTAAAAAATGAAATTCTGATGCCCACTCTCAAAAGAAAATAAAGAGAGATAAACCAAGAATGTGTAGCCAACTGAACTGAATTAAAAACGAACATGATGACATTATCTGGGATGAGTTCAATTGGTATAGCATTGCATGTTCTGAAAATGAATAATGTAATGGGTTTTTTTTCCATGTTGGAAAACATTTTTTTTTCCATACTATTTTACATATTTGTTCATTTTTCACTAAATCTACGTTCTTCACAGGTTTTCATTAACTGTTCATAGTAAAAAGATATATACACATGCACACACACATACTCATACACATACAATTATGTATACACATAGATATATACATACATACTCAAAAAGATAGAATTTGAACTTAAAGGTCTGATAATGGATGTAAATTTAAACAATGGGAAGAAAGTCTTACTTGTGGAATCTTGTAAATAGATAGGATAGCTGCCATGTGGATACAGACTTCAGAATTAGGTCCTCCAATGACTGACACTAGGTTGTTCTCTGCTTCACACTTGTAGTTAGGGATTAACTTGCCTTGTGTTGAAAATACTTCCATTGAGGCATGATATGTCCAGCTTGCAATAAAGTTGCTGTTATAGATATGGGAGCCCAGAGTGAGGTTGGGCAAGATCTGGGGATTTTCATTGATCTCTTTTATAGTAAATACCAAAGACAAAATATGTTGGTAGAGCTGAGTTACCATGCTGAAATGAAAACGAGGCATTGATTTGAGCTCATTGGGTTCAGCACAAGAGCTGCATGACTTTTGTTCAACTCATAGCTTTAAATATATTGTACTCATAGTTTCCATCAGATGATTACTAATGAACATTGTTAAATAATGCACATCTATTTCAGTCTTCATCACATAGTAATGGTACTACTTTAAAAGATACTGTTTAATATTAGAAAATATCCAAGAATGAAAGGGTACAACTAATTCTATACACAAGTCAATAGCAATCTTATTATTGTCTTTGTGTCCTCTGGGATGATTATATTGACATTCCAAAGCACCATTCTGCACGGTGTAGAAAAAAAGTCAATCATAAATTCAGAAACACTAGAGGTGATATTCAGCAGGTTCTGACCAGTTCTGGAGAACCGGTAATAGTGGAAATTTTGAGTAGTTCAGAAAACCAGCAAATACATATCTCCGACTGGAGATTTTACAGTATCCTTCCCATGCCAGGCCCACCAAGCCAGGCCCACAGTTGCGGTAGTAAAAAAAATGAATCTACCACTAAGAGATATCCTTTAATTTAGTTCATTGATTAAAATTTAGTTTCATAATTCTCAAGATTGTATCTAAATCAGGTTTTTGCAAGACTGAAATAACTAAGCACTATATTACTGTGACTAATTGGATTTCAGGGAAATTATTGACAATCACTTCAACTGTTGCTATTCATTTTAAGAAACACTGAAAATCAGAACTTTTATGTCTGTATATGAATGACAAAATAACTTCAACTGGGAAAATGGTTATCTTCACAAATATACCGGTATTTCATTACTCACAACAAATTTATTTAGCTGTGCAGCTGAATTACTCTATTTCTTTTTTAAGGAATAGGGAAATCTTGAAATAAAACAGTTAAAAAAATGCTGTTGGAAAGTTCTTAATCCAAAAAGCTAGGAAATAAATTTATGACTATCTTTGCTGAAATTTAATTAAAAATAAATATTGGATTGACATCTCATTCTCAGGCAGCTACCTTGGAATATAATAGAAAACAGTGTTTAATTATATGGGATTCCAAAAACATCCTCCAAAGTAATTTACCAACAACTTAAGTAGTAAATTGCAGAAAAAATAGATACTTGTAAAACATTAAACCTCTTCCATAGAATTAACTGAGAATTTGACGTGCCAAAATCATGAAGTCAGAACTATGAACTCATGCATATTAATGAGATTAAGTAGAACTGTTTATTCCCAATGCATTATTAATGGACCTTGACATCCAAGACATCCTTAAACAATTGCAGTCCTCGTGGACAATGGGATATACAATACAGATGCAGCACCAAACATCAAACTCATTTCTGAACAATTAGTTTTAGATACATGAGCATCTTACTCAGTATCATAGAAAATGTCGATAGAAGGCTTTTCGTGAAAGCGTATTGTGTTTGAAAATAAATACATCTGAGACAAAATACCGGCAACAATGACATCTCCTGGTTGATAATATTTATGAAGAATTGGAACAGGATCACCAACAATGCAATTCATATTAGGAGTCTCTGAAATTGCTCTAAACAACAGCATTAAGACCAATACAGAAATCTTCATTAATTTGCATGATGCAATTCCTTCTTTGCAGTCTTTCATTTGCCCAATTTTATCCTGTAATAGATTATTGGCTGAGTAGCACAGCCTAACTTGAATGGTCACTTGCTTGGTTTACAGCACCAACCAAGAATATTAAGAACACCAACATATATACATGTATATATTCTGTTTCTTTATATTATAGAGCAAATAATGACAAGTTAATTCTGTTTGTTTTTAGTTTTGCTGATGGTTGTTGAAACTCCCTTGAGACAAGAAGAGGGAAGAAAAATAATTGGGGTTAATTAGATAATTGCCTGAAAAATAACCCACCTGTTTAGGATTTCAAGTCCTATTGACATATCAGGAATATATTCAATATCTTTCATCAAAACCCATCTCCACCTATTTTCCCTGGATTAGCAAAACAAAAAACAAAACAAAACCAAAAGAAAATTATTTGCTATAAATAAATAGCAAATAAATGTCTTTGGGCTGTTTGCTAATAAAAAGCCCAAAGAAAAATGCTGGAAATAAAATGTAGGCAAGCTGCAGAAAGGATGGTTATTTGCAGTGGTGGGTTTCTACCTATTCTCTAGAACCAGTTGTTAACATTCTAAGCAGTTTGGGGAACTGGTTGTTACAAGAAATTACTGGTCTAATCCTGTAAGGAAGGCAGGAAGGAAACATTCTGGTGTTGGTTACAGAAACTGCCTCTCTGTTAACCCTTATTACATTCTTGGCAGACTAGACTTCCTGTCTCTGGAGTTTTTGTCCCCTCCTTTGCTGGTACTTTGCTTGTGTAGAGTGACCATTCAAAGTTACAATGGCACTGAAAAAAGTGACTTATGACTATTTTTCACACTTACGACTATTGCAGCATCCACACACTCATGAGAGGCCAGGCAAGGAGATGTGTGCCTTGATGTGAGTGATATTGAGTTGGCCATGCCCAGCCAATAACATGACCACCAAGCCATGTCCACCCAATCACATGACCACCAAGCCACACCCACCAACTAAGCCATGCCCACAAAACCGGTTGTTAAAAAAATTGAATCCCACCCCTGGTTACTTGGTAGCCAGAAACTAGTGACAGCTGGATGTTTCTGCAGTGGCTGACAAAAAGGGTTTGAGTGAGGTGGGTTTTTGTACATTCTTTGGAGCTTTGTGATTGAGATGTCTGTTCCATTGTAAGAATATGTCGTTCTATATTTTAAGTGATGTATCCAGATTCCTATGGGGTCATGTATGTGTCATGGCTGTCTCTATAGGCAAAAGGGGGAGTGCAAATCCTAAATGCTTGTCTGAGCTAATCTTGTCAGCTTTGGCTTGCCTATTGTGTTGCTTATTTGGAGTCCCTTTGCTTTTGAATACATTGGCCCAGTCTTTGTGAATGGATACAAAATCTCTAATCCTGAAGATCAGCCTTTTCAAGTGTCTGCTTCAGGCAGTTTTCCTATGGCAGGAAGAACTAGGGCTGCTTTCTACCTTCATTAAGATTTTTTTCCCATTTCTCCTTTAGAGGAAATATTCTATTTTACCTCTTTTTAATATCAAAAATAAAGAATATTTTAATCTGGCTGGGGGACTTTCTACAAAAGTTTGGTGGATTTCATTTTCTAGTTTTATTGGAGTGAAACTCTTTGGGGCTTGGGGACTATTATCTGTATCTGAGTTGGCAAGCTGCCAATCATGTTTGGGCTTCAGGAGAAAGACCTTTCCTTTGGTGTGTTATGCATGCCCAAACACATGCCCACGCATATCATTCTGAGCTTGGGAACTTTTCTAAATAGTTTTCCTTCCCCACTTTGCTTAGTAAACCGGAGGCTTCCTTTTGCAGCATACATTTTCAATTCTGCAAATGCAGGCATTTAATTGTTCATTTTTAAAGAGCTGTGGTGGTTAGAATGCAGTCTACTTCTGCTGACTGCCGGCTATCTACAATTTGGCAGTTTGAATCTCACCAGGCATCCTTCCGAGGTGGATAATATGAGGACCCAGATTGCTGATTCTGTCAACCGCTTAGAGAGGGCTGTAAAGCACTGTAAAGTGGTATATAAGTCTAAATGCTAGTGCTATTTTCCCTTTAGTATTGCTTTTGTGGTGCCACCCTTTGCAAATTTCCTTCAGGGAAAACTTTTAAGCATCTTGGATGACTCTCAGCTGCCCCTTCCTAGTATGTAATCTGCATCTTACTGCTAACTTGTCCACAAGCTTGGAATGGTTTGTATGTTTATGTGTATGTGCATTGCATACACTTCAAACTGGCATGTGTTTGCTGAAATTTAATATAATTTGGCAAAGCAGATCTATCAGTTTTGGCATTTACAGGCGTCTTTAGCCTTCTTATATACATATAAATGAGGCAGGAGAAGAATACCATAAACTTTGATGTGATGGACAGTTACAATGAGCAGGATAATTAATGGATTATGTGCCAAGAAACATAGTACTACTCAACTTATGACAACAATCACTTC